AGAGACACTTGTATATCCATGTTTGTTGCTGCTCTTTTCACAATAGCTAAGAGATGGAAGCAACCTAGGTGTCCCTCAATTGATGAGTGGATAATGAAAATGTGGTTCATATATACGATGGAGTTTTACTCAGCACTAAAGAAAGATGAAATCATGAAATTTGCAGGTAAATGGATGGAACTAGAATGTGTTATACTAAGTAACACAGACTCAGAAAAATAAACGACGTATGTTCTCCCTCATAGGGCTTCTAGCACCAAATCCTTTTAAATTTCAGATCCTTTTAATAAGATGATGATATACAGCAGTCCCTTCTGTATGAAATAACTACCATCATCACGACTTTGGCTAAGCCTGATCACTAAACATAGTCACAATTGGGTTTGTTGGGTTAGGTTGTGCTCATTCATTAAAAAAATGCCAAGCAGGGTCACTGGACCCTCACCTGACTATCCAGCCACTCTTCCCAGCCAACTAGTCCAGCCTTGGAAGGAAAAAGAAAAATGAGGAGGAACCCAACAGAGGGATGCTTTTGGAAGTCCTTGTCAAGAAACTCCAATGGACTCTCATATGAACATTTGAAAATTGCTCTGTTCTGACTTTTTTCTAGTTCCCTGTCTAGAACTTGTAATGCTAATTACTCTTGCCTTTACTTCTCCTTCACATCTCCCATTCATGATTCAAGGACTTTCTTCTCCCCTTAGAGACAAGAGTTATGCAATTTGGGAGTCTTTTAGATAGACCCACTGAAGGGGTACTCCAATTGCCTCACCCTGCGTCCCTGTTGAGCATGGAAGAAGCCAGAGTGGCCAGCGTCCCTATTCCCTATTGGCAATTTGGGTAATCCCTTCAGAGCATGGTGTGATAAGAATAAGAGGTAGGAACTGGATAGGCAGTTAGGGTAAAATGACCCTAAAGAAATGTAGCCAGTTTCTTGGCTAAAAGTCAAAATGTCCTTGGGCCTGTTAGTAACATACTCTGTTCCAAAGGCCCAAAATGTCAAAAGTATTTGGGAGCTTGTATCTAATCCTTAAATTATTTTAGGATTACCTCTTCAGAGGGGGGAATGTCGGAGGGGAGGGAGTGGGC